TTCCTTGATCTCATCAGAAACCATAGTTTTTCAATCATCTTAATTTGGGCTTCAATAGCTAAAGATAAATTATTTCAGGAAAGATACTACACAATATTATTTGTCTTATCAATCATCTTTCATTTAATTCTTTTCATCTTAATCCAAACGACTCTCTCACATTAACCATCTCACATTTAATATGAGGTATCAAGGTCTTTTTTTTTGCTCTATTAAAGAATCTAAAAGTGTTTATGTTTTGTAACGAAGAGAGTAGTAAATAGGTTTATTAATAGCAATACATAGTATATTCTCCTTTAGATAGGTTAAAGTACAACATATAAAAAAAGAGAGTAGAAGCAGTAATTTTTCAAAAAAAGGCCGTTCGTGTGCCAAAATCTTTTTAAGTATACGGATACACATTTGAAGTATTAAACGTAGACTAATAACAAAATAAATTACAGATTCCGCCTGTAAACTGCAATACGAATTTATTAAGTCTAATTAATCTGTCATTAGCAAATATTTAATGTAGCGTCTCATTGTCAAATCATGATGTAATTAAGCTTAAAAGATTCGTCTCGTAATTTACATGCAAACTGTACAATTGATTTTTTTTTTCATATTTAATACTCCATGAATATGTCTAAATATTTGATGTGATGGAATTTTTGGAAGTTTGAAGGTAACTTAAACACTGCCAAAGTTAGGAGAGGGGAGAAGTAAATTAAAAAAAAGAAGAAGAAAAAGGCACAGGCAATAATTCTTGTGCTGGGGGTGGTGGTGGCTGGCTGGCTCGCCTATATAAAGGGGGAGGGAGGGGCTTCTCCTCTTCCAGCACAAGCAAGCAGCTTGAAGCAACCCACCACAGCTTCCTTCTTCCTCTGCTTCAGCAGAGCAGGGGAGCAGAGGAGGGAGAGGTCACTCATTCACAACCTCATACAGAAGGAAGAAGAAGAAGAAGAGAAGAAGATTCACACATACATCTATAGATAAAATATATTTATACATATAGAGAATACTCAGAGAGTAGCCAAGAGAGGAGGAAGAAGAAGATGGTGTTGGTGGCGATTGGGGTGGTTGTGGCGGCGGCGGTGGTGGTGAGCAGCCTGCTGCTGCGGTGGAACGAGGTGCGGTACAGCCGGAAGCGCGGCCTGCCGCCGGGGACAATGGGGTGGCCGCTCTTCGGCGAGACCACCGAGTTCCTCAAGCAGGGACCCAGTTTCATGAAGGCCCGGAGGCTCAGGTATATGCTATATTACTCCACTATGAAACAAGCACCAAACCAAAGCAACACAACAACTAACTGCTTCTTTTGACATGCTACCTGACGCGCCATACATTCCTTCCCCTGCAATCTCTGCATCATGCGTGTGTATATCTATCTATCCATCATATGCTCTGCTCTCTGCTCTGCAATAGCAAGCTTGAAGCTTTGGCCATGGGGGGAGAGGCAGAGGAAGAAGGAGCTGCTGCAGTGCTGCTGCTTTGATGATGGTGATGATGATGAAGATGTGGGGAGAGAGAGAGAGAGAGAGAGAGAGAGAGAGAGAGAGAGAGAGGAGGTGATCTGGAGGAAGGGAGGGACCTCGGAGCTGTGTCCCCCAAAAGCTCACACTCATCACTGTTCCAGCTGGGAGATCCTCTCTCCCTTCCAGTCCACCAAAAAGTGCCCACCCTCATAACACACACACACACTAACACTCTTACACAAAAGATATGATTTTTTTTCATCCCAAGGAAAAAAAAGGAGCGATTTTTTTTAATTACATCCATCCCCACTTGGCCCCCTCCTAAACTTTTCTCCCTTCAATGATCAACTAAAAGAGAACATCCACAGCACAAACCAAGCATTTGTTTTTCTTCTCCTTGTTGCAGAATCTGTACTACTAGCAGCAGCATTCATCCATCACAATCATTCATTCCTCCATTTCCTTTTATTATCAACGAGAAAACTAATCAAACACTAATACCACTAGCAGTAGCAGCAATAGTAGCAGTAGTACTAAAAGCGAAAGATTTTGCAGGTACGGGAGCGTGTTCAGGACGCACATCCTGGGGTGCCCGACGGTGGTGTGTATGGAGGCGGAGCTGAACCGGCGGGCGCTGGCCAGCGAAGGGCGCGGGTTCGTCCCGGGCTACCCGCAGTCGATGCTGGACATCCTGGGGCGGAACAACATCGCCGCCGTGCAGGGCCCCCTCCACCGCGCCATGCGCGGCGCCATGCTCTCCCTCGTCCGCCCCGCCATGATCCGCTCCTCCCTCCTCCCCAAGATCGACGCCTTCATGCGCTCCCACCTCGCCGCCTGGTCCTCCTCCTCCTCCTCCGCCGTCGTCGACATCCAGGCCAAGACCAAGGAGGTACTCTCTCTGCTTCTACTTCTACTTCTCCTTCTCCTTGCATGGATATCATCGTCTTCTTTTCTTTTCTTGCTTTCTGAAACAACAACAACAGTAGCAGTATCAGGCATTACGATCTGTCTGGTTATTAGTAGCAGTAATGAGTAGTAAATTATTGGGGAGGGTGGTAATTTGTGTGGGGCCCACCGTAAGAAAATCTTGGTCTCTACTACGAGTACTACCCTGCATTAAGAAAATCTCAACTGTTGACATTAGTTAGCACTAGTACTGTACTGTGGTTCCACTGATGCTGCAAGTTGGCAACAAAGAATGGGTGGCACCACTAGCAGCCAGCAGCAGTAGGAAGCACACAGTAATTACCTTTTTGACCTTTCTTTACCGCACTCTACTGCTGATAGTACAATGGCAGCAGACAGAATGATGGTGCCTCTTGCAAAATGGGGAATGGAGCAAAGGAAGAGGAAAGGAGGGGAGAAGGAAGATCCCCCTTTCCTCTCTGGACCCCCAAAAAAGGGGAATCTCTAGCTTTTCTAGAACACTTGTACTGCTGGATAACAAAAGAAAGAGATTGATCTATCATGAGCTCTTTCCTCAGCCAGAAATAAAAGACACTCTACCAGACACAGCATCTCTCTCACTCTCTTAGTACTAAGTAGTACATATTCATTCCAAAGTGAAATCTATCCATAATTATGGCCATCACATGTCTCAAATGCCTAAGGAACTTGTTTTTTTTTTTTTTAAAGTAGCAGTAGCATTGTATGAGTACCTGGTTTGCTTTTGGTTGGCATGCTGAATTTCATACTTGCATGGCAGCTCACACCAATGTTTCACTTTCAGATGGCCTTGCTATCTGCACTCAGGCAGATTGCCGGCGTCTCCGCTGGCCCACTCTCTGACGCTCTCAAGGCAGAGCTCTACACCCTTGTGCTTGGCACCATCTCCCTGCCCATCAACCTTCCTGGAACCAACTACTACCAAGGCTTCAAGGTTAGCTGACTGCAGAATTGTACTGATATGGTAATTCAGTTAAAACTCATGCACTGAAGAACTACTCTAACAAGGCACTCTTTTTTTTTTCAGGCAAGGAAGAAGCTTGTTGCAATGCTAGAGCAGATGATCGCGGAACGGCGATCCTCCGGTCAGGTACACGACGACATGCTGGATGCGCTCTTGACCGGTGTCGAGGGCACCAGGGAGAAGCTCACAGATGAGCAGATCATTGACCTGATCATCACCCTTATATACTCTGGATATGAAACCATGTCGACGACCTCGATGATGGCTGTCAAGTACCTGTCAGACCATCCCAAAGCTCTTGAGCAACTCAGGGTATAGATAATCTGAAAACAAACCACTTGAATCCCATGATGAAAACCATTTCACACTTCGAGTTTACTGATGATCTGTTCACTTCTGCAGAAAGAACATTTTGATATCAGGAAAGGTAAAGCGCCCGAAGATGCCATCGACTGGAATGATTTCAAGTCCATGACCTTCACTCGAGCTGTAAGTTTGATGATGATAAACTCAGAAAGCAGCCACAGTAACAGTGTAGTCTGATCATGATGAACTCATGGGCACTTTTACTATGCAGGTTATCTTCGAGACATTAAGATTAGCTACAGTTGTGAATGGGCTGCTGAGGAAAACTACCCAAGATGTTGAAATGAATGGTGAGATATGCATGATATATACGCTGCTGCAATTAGCATCTTTTTGATAAATCTTTGGATAGCCCTAATGCAGTGCTTATTTGTTTCTTCCAGGGTATGTTATCCCAAAAGGTTGGAGAATATATGTTTACACAAGGGAAATAAATTATGATCCATTCCTGTACCCTGATCCCATGACATTCAATCCATGGAGGTGGCTGGTAAGTAAAACAGCAATCAAGTAATTTCCACTAGCACACCAATAACACCACTATTGATTGAATTGTAAGTTTCTAACCACGTAATACTTACTGATAACAGGAGAAGAACATGGAATCACATCCACACTTCATGCTGTTTGGAGGAGGTAGTCGAATGTGCCCGGGGAAGGAAGTAGGCACCGTAGAAATTGCAACATTCCTTCACTATTTCGTGACTCAATACAGGTTTGTTCATCTTGTCAAATCCTCTGTTGCTTAGAATATGTCTGGTTCTTTACTGACAAAGAAGACATGGTGTTAATCTTTTCTTTGCAGATGGGAGGAAGAAGGTAACAACACAATATTGAAGTTCCCCCGAGTTGAAGCTCCCAACGGGTTACATATCCGCGTTCAAGATTACTGATCCTGGAACATTTTGCGAAGTTAGATAGGAATTCAAATCAGATAGAAAATAAGAGTGCAATTCTGATGCTGCTGCCCTGATGACAGGATTAGAACAGCCGTTTGGCTCTTGTAACATATGTCCATGAAAATAGGAATATTATAGAGATAATATAGGCATTATAGGACCATTAGGAAGCTAATGTAGATTGCCATCAGATGCTCCTGTATTCTTTTGGTCCATCAATTGTTGAACTAAAACAGAAGTGTCATTTGGCTTCTATGCTTCTGAACATGATAGAGAGTTAATAGACACCAGCTGTCCATAAGAACAGAACACATGGATGAAGACTTGACAAGATACACGAGTTCTCATAGAAACAGGGATGAAGACTTCAAATTTCTCTTCTCATGTCCACTAACTGAAAGAAATATGAAATATGTAAAAGAGGAAATACTGATAGAGGAACAGTAAAGGTGTACCTCAATGAACAGGCTAAAGCAAGTAAACTGCTTCAATGGTGGCTCTCAGTTTTCCCTATAGATACCAAGGAACTCATGTTAATGAACAGGGGATGCTTCAATTGGTTGGACAATATATTGATGTCGGGAAAAGAACTTGCCTCACCTCAACATACTGAAAAGCAGTATTGATTGCTAGTACAGGAGATGTTAACAGTTGTTGAAATCCAGAAGTGTCACTGTTGGCTGTTGCTGCTATTCATAGGACACGAAACTACATTGTGTAAACACAGAGGTGCCAGCCCACACCATTTATAAATTATATAATTCATCATACCAAAGATTATACAAAGGGACAAGTGGACAACATTTCCAGATTGCTACAGGCAAATTTTCTCAAGGACTGAAATTCCCCTCTAAATGAAGGACTACCAAAACCCTAGGTAAGGCATGCAAGGTATTCAAGTAAAGAATGAAATGATACAAAAAACACAATGCAGTTCTGTTAACTTGTAGTACCAATTCCAAACTAGTAGTTCTGCTAAGTCACATTTTTCATAAACATTACTACCAAAACATCTTTTTTGTGGTGCTGTTATAGCTTTTCTTCTTCGTTTTAAAAAAAAACACCCTTTATTCTGGAAGATACCCCCAATTCAGATCAATGGCGTTCTTTATCACCATGAAATGTCTAAAATAAGACTACACAGCTCAGGTGAGTTGTATATTGGAATAAAAGTAGCCTGTCAAGTTATTTTGTGGCAAGATTAATAAGCCCTTGAAGTTCATTATGCTCAATTGTCACAATGAAAAAATAAACCTGAAAATGGAAATAAACTTCCATGGGACATGAGCTATCAACTATATCTATTTGAAACAGTTTTGCACTTTAATTACTACTACAATAAGTTAATGTAATAAAGCTTGTAAGACCAAGTGAGCATAATGTATATAACATACTCTTCCACCTGAAGTGCAGTGTCCAGAATCAATGCACGGTTCTGAAACCAACAGGTGTAACTCCAACTGAAATATAACTCAAAAACATTGTTTTGCAAACCTCAATAAATTGCCAACTGCAATGCCTGGATTAGATAGATGCTTTCACATTCACAAGAAAACAACTAAAGAGAAAAAAAAAATACTGATTACAGCAGTCATGTATGCACAGATTGACGGAGATGCAGCAACAAAGCCACATGCATATTGCTACACTCCACTCTGTAGTGCACTGACAGAATAGAGTTTCTGGCAGTACATATCTTTGCAACACAACATAAATGATCAGAAGTAGCTACAGGTAGAGACAGACACACGTTGCATGAACAAGCGTGACACTGTACTCAAGAACTGGTACATGGTTGAACAGAAGAAAGCATATGCCAAGTACATGTGCCTCTCTCACTTTCCTCTCTACTATCTCAGTTCTCAGATGATGTACACACACTGGCACACTGCCATGATGGCATCCCATGTGATGAAACAAGTACAAGACTTCGCAGATGCATTGCATATTCCCCAGACTATTGGATTTGGGAATCACTGACTGGACTGACATTGTGCACGGAGCAAGACATACACCATTACACATGGGCAGAAGTAAAAGAGTGCAGAGTTCATATCTAGCAATATGGAATAATTTTCATCCAAGCAGGAATGGGTGATTAGTATTTTGGTGAGATTTAAGGCAAAAGTTCACTCAAACAGAGCAAATCTAAGGAACACAAGGAATGCTAACATAAGAGAGTACAATAATGGATCTGTAGAAAAAGCTAAAAGAAATACAAACACATGTATTTAATTTTGTTGTTGAATATGTTTATATGTTGAGCAGGTAGACAGCACATTGAATTCAATTTAGAAGAATGCCAATCAAAATAGCAGGGTAAAGCTCGATTGCAGAGGATAGCTCAAGATCACCTCATTTTTATTTAGTCTCTTAGTGACATGAACTCCTACACTTGAATTGATTTGGATTATATTCTGGATTTCATGAAAAATTCAAAAGATCTTATGCTTAATCTTGTTATTAGAAAGTCCAAAGTTTTACTCTGCTTTAGCAACGTGTCACATATTTTTGCAGAACCAACACCAAATCTGGCATTGTGCACTTTGATTATGTTGACCAACCAATGTTGCAGATGAGGCAGCATGAGCTGAAATTCTTTCGATGGGATCGGTGTGGTCACATATTTCACCTAGAAATATTTTCATGGATGGTCATTCAACTAACATTGGCACTTGTGAAGCACCGATGCTTCTTTTACTCATCTTTTGAGAAACATTCAGAACCTTTTGAGAAACCAATTCCGGTGTCAACAATCATTCTCCACAAAGGGAGGTGTGTCATTTCTGTGCCATTACACCCTTGAGTATCGTTCCATGGCCACCTGCTTGCAAACATCTCCTTAATTCAAAATTTGATAACATGTATTGTGGAGGGATCCTCTCTCAGATGTATTACTATGCAAGGGGCATCATCACATAATAGCAACTTGACCTGAGAATAGCATCGTCTACTTCTTGAAACTTCGCTCGATCACTTGAACTATCAGGTTCATATTAAGTATACCCATGAGGCTATGAAACTTCTCTTTGCCAATCAAACAACGCACTACCGATGGGCAACCCCGTCTTAGTATTTGCCTTTTAATCAAGGGCTGTCGTCCAAGATTCTCCAAGAGTTCGAAGACATCTCTGCATTTTGAGAGTGGATGCCAACTTGCACCAATATCAGTTTCAGTATTCAAACTTGGAAGACTCATCACCAGAGCCATAACAATAGCCTCTCATGTCTATCAAAACTTCAGAGTTTGTCTAGCGCTAACCATATGCAACTGTGATGTTGAGCACAAAGTGAACTATTCTTTCACCATTTCTTTATCTGGTGCTTACCATAGAAAATAATATCCAAATCAATTGGCCCAGGACTATATCTTATTCCATCAGTGGCCCAACTCCTTCTCAATTTCTTTGCTGTCTCAAGCTTTGTTTAATGTGGCCCATATCTTAGCAGCTTCCTGAGTAATTCATGTGGTCCAAGCTTTATTGTCCCTCTTAACAACGGAGTTTTGAAACAATGGTTCATCAGTGACACATGCAAGTGCAGTTTTATACAAGCAGGCATGTGGTGTAATGATAATGCATGAATCTCTCATGAGCTGTAGGGATGTATAAAGTTACTGATTCTGTGACCTACATTGCTCCCTAAAGCTATGACAACCGCTTGCTCTTGGGATCTTGTCTTGGATGATTATCCTGATTCCTGAAAAAGAACAGTACCTTGAGAAATTTGTTTGTGCATTTCTGTGAGTCAACAAACAGGCTGACATGGGTACAGCAGCACCTTATTAAAGAAACATGAGGGAACACTGTTGCAAAAATGCTGAGCATTTTTCCTTTCAAGTAGTAGCATTGGGCAGCAGGAATTAGCCGTTTAACTCTATCCTTGATAGAGAACATGGGATTTAGTACACGATACCATAGGATATATCATGCTTAGCTAAATGGTTGGAATGCCCTTTTGGGGTTTTGATTTTTGTCCAGAAAAAAAAAAATGTTGCTGAACAGCTCTACATTGCCTGCAAAGTATCAGGCAACCTCAGACATGAGAAAAAAATACAGAAATATTACGGAATATAAGAAGATTTCATGACAAGTCAACCTTTTAGGCAGATATTACAGAAGAAAAGGTTCTCAATTGGTATCTGAACAAACAGCTTCCTTTAGGGCTAATCTACCAAAGGAACAGTACTTTTACTGTTTTACAACATAAAACAGTCCTTAAGCTGATAGCCGGAATGGAAGAGCAATGGGTGTTTAGAAACTAAATGTGTGACGTGGCAGAAATAAAAGAACACAATAGAAGTAAAAAAGACAGTACAATACGGAATCAACCAATTATTTTGTTCCAATCCTCAAAAAAAAAAAATCAAGCTTATCTGAATAAGTAGATTTATAGTATTATTTTTCTATCTTGACAGACTATGTGTTGCGGAGCAAATGAGAAGGAACAATGGCTGAATGAATAACAATTACTGGTACATATGACGTGCAAAGTGCTATGGAAACCAGCAATTTTAACAGTCCATTACGACCTTGTTTTATATTATAAGTCATTTTGACTTTTTTTCCTAATCAATCTTTTTTTTTAATTTTGACCTAATTTCTAAAAAATACAGCAACATTTTGAATAGAAAACAAACGTATTATCAAAATATATTTAATGAAACTAATTTAGTATTGTAGATGTTGCTAAATTTTTCTATAAATTTGATCAAACCTAAATAAAACAACTTATAATGTGAAACGGAGAAGAACCACAAATCACCACAAACATGCATAGCGCTGACAGCGCCGCAACGCATTGCCACAAACTGGAGAAGGTTGCAAAGAACGGCAGTAGGACTCGACTAGAATACTAGATTCCCACATTGTCACACAAAAGAAACAATTAATATACCATGATAAACATTCAGCAAGAACTCCCGTGAGGCCGGAGCACCATGGCCAAGCCGAAGCCGGCGCCGGCGGCAAATTGAAGAACAGGCGAGGCGACGGCGCAGGATGCGTTGATTCGATGAATGAGCGGACCAGTCAACCAGGGTAACTCCCAAGAAGATCCCTATAAGCTACCCCGTGCGGCTGCCATTTGCGAACCAAGAGAGAGGATTCCGCGCCGCCGAGGCGATAAACGGCGGCGGAGTCTCCCGGGGGAAGAAGAGGAGAGGAGAGGAGAGTGCTAGCGTATTATTATCTGTTCGTAAACCCATGGATGAAGCGTATTCCCCAAGTACGTGTTCTACCATGCGATTATTTATTACGCTTCTGCCCCTTATCTTGAGATAGATGGAAGGGCATGTATGTAATTTTAGTTTGCAGCAGCAATCAATCTTCTTCTCCCCTCTCCCCTGGGGTTTTTGCTCCTCTGCTCAGCTCTGAGCTTCTTCGTTTGAGGGATTTTCTTCTCCCGGGAGGCGGAAGAGGCGTAGGCGAGGATTCTTGTAGGAATCCTCTCCTCTCCATTGATGCACCGAATGGCTTCTCTTCTTCTCCCCCCGCAGTTTCTTTGCTCCCTGCCTTGTAGTACCAACTCAATCAGGTATGTAATGCTTCATTTTTCTGTGTAATGCAGCTTCTTCTTCTTCTTCTTCTGGTAGTAGCTGATATGAGTGCGTGTGGCGATCTCTTTCGGATTGTTTGAGTCGCCACCATATGGATCCTAGGTTAGGGAAGGGAAAGGAGCAGCACATGGAGTGGAGATTGTGGCATCTTTCTTTGGTCCCAAATTTCCAATAGATCTTGGGTCTATGTTTTGTTTCATTTTTTGATAACAACTATTTGATTCTTACAAGATGAACAATATGTCATCAAATTGTGATGTGTACTCGATGAAATATATATATATACCGCTTGTACCTAGCCTTGTCTGAATATGCTCCCACGTGGTATGGTAGCAGCTTCATATTTGAATCGTGTGATAACATTAGTTCTATCTTACATTCACTTATTCTTTATTTTTTAACACATCACTACTTACATTATGGTTTAAATTCCAACAGTTATTAGTGACTTGCTTCCGATGTGTAATGTGCAGGAGCCATTTACATTATAAGCCCCACTTCTTGGGAAACATTATGACTAAGCCTAAAGCTAAAATGAGGCTGCTCAACCGAAACGTAAGTTCCATGGCAAAGAAGAGCTCTCAAGATGTAGCAGAAGGTTCAAGTGATGATGAGAGTGACGGCGAGACATCAAAAACCAAGAAAAGAGCTCCGAGACGTGGAAGAAAGAAAGCCACCATACAAGCATCAGAAGGGGAAACACAAGAAGGTCAAGTGAGCACTGAAGAAGATGAATCCCCTGAAGGGACTAAGAAAATAAAAAGGAGGGGCCGCAAGAAAGGTACATCTTGCTTGCATATTTTCAGTAGAGTACTTCCTTCAATAACTTAAGAAAAAAATTATCGTAAACCCTTAGCAAGTCATGACTTCTCTCCTATGTTGCAGCTGCAACTACTGCAAGCTCATCGGAAGAGAAGGACAAAGCAAAAGAACCAAAGAAGAGGGGCAGAAGAAAAGTTAAGACTGTAGAGGAATTGAGTGACAATGAAGGGGAAGATCTGGGTGAAGATCTAGTGCCCTCCAATGACAGGCAGGAGAAAATTTCAGCAAATGACCTAGAAAGTAAAATAGCAGCATTGCTATTAGAAGATACTGATGATAATGATATTAACAATTTAATCCCTCTTGTGTGCTGCTTTGGGCCTGCTAAGTACTCATTTATTCCTTCTGGAAGACCTGCTAATAGGCTGATAGATCATGAAATTCATGAGGGAATGAAAGACATGTTCTGGTCTCCAGATCAATTTGTAAGGGCACCAGGAGGATCATCATCCAATGTTGCTCTTGCTTTAGCAGCTTCTGGTGGCCGGGTTGAATTCATGGGAAAACTAGGCGATGATGATTATGGTCAAAGTACATTATATCACTTGAACGTCAATGGAGTTCAAACTCGGGCAATTAAAATGGACCCTTCAGCGTTTACTGCCATGTCCTTGATGAAGGTCACAGGTAGGGGTAGCTTGAAAATGAGCTGTGCTAAACCTTGTGCAGAGGATTGTTTTGTCCAAACTGATATCAACCCAGCTGTTTTAAAAGAGGTAAAGACGAGTACATCAAACAATATTTTGATTACACCTTATCCTCTACAATATTATCTATTACTACATGGTTTAATGATAAACTGTATGCACACTTGATTGGTCTTGAGAAAAGTTTGTTTGTGCCATGCACATTGTGGCAACAATAAATTGTTTAAATGTTCACATGGTAAAGTTATTTTACTATGCTGACCTATCATTATGTTGTGGTGCATTTTCTTTTGTCAGAGATGATTAGTTAATGAAAGAGTACTACACGGATCAGAAGATTTGTATGTCACACATTGTTTTGTTAGTTATAATTAATCTGGTATGGAAATTTTACCACATAAAAGCAAATTTTGTTGAATAATTCTGTTCCTTATACAGTTAGAAAGATTCTATTTTTCTTTATCACAAGAAGAGCTTGCTAAAGTGAAGAAGTTGCTTTCAGCTGATGGCATATTATACTGTTTAGATGTGCAATTCATAATTCAGTTGCAACATTGTTTGCAATACAGAAGTCATTATATTTATATCAAAAGACTTAAGGAACAACTAGGGCTATACTGCTAAATTAATGTACTTGTCCAAAAAGATAATAAGAGGAAATTACTCAACTCGATTTCTATCAATTCAAACTTGCTATCTATTAGTTGACCATGAATGTGTCAAAATGATACTATGTACTATAAACAAATGGGAGGTTTACCTGTTTTCATTGCCGTGCTTTGGTAGGTTCAGAAAAAGAAGTAAATAAAACACTTTCAGTTCACAACTGTGCTTTTTCTACATGTTTGCACTTAGCATGGTTATTTTTTAGTCAGAAGACACATAAACCTGTACCATAATGATCTTAATTTTTTGTAAAAAACCTTTTAGCAGTTAGGGCACTACAAGCTGCTCTGTACTGGAACTTGTTGGATAATATCTTTGCTAATGCTGAATGTCTGAAAATTCCCAAACTCAAAATAATATGAACATTAAAAAGCAACTACTTAAAATATTAGGTCCCTATGGGCAGGCCATATCTGAAATTAGGTAAATCAAAGATATCTACAATCCCTGAAGAAAATACTGTCCACTTATGTGTTATATCTTATGTAAAAATCAGTTGTTTCTGTTTGTTAATGCAGGCTAAGATGTTTTACTACAATTCTTCAGCTTTGCTTGAGCCCACGACACGATCATCATTGTCGAAAGCAATTGAGGTTTCCAAGAAATTTGGTGGTGTAACATTCTTTGATCTCAATCTTCCACTGCCATTATGGTCGTCCAGTAAGGAGACCAAGTCACTTGTCAAGGAAGCATGGGAAGCTGCTGATATTATTGAAATCACTAAGCAGGAACTTGAGTTCTTGTGTGGCATTAAACCATCTGAGAAATTTGGTACGAAGGATAATGATAAATCCAAATTCACTCACTACAGCCCAGAAGTTGTTACGAAATTGTGGCATGAAAATCTCAAGGTCCTTTTTGTGACAAACGGCACTTCTAAGATTCATTATTACACAAAAGAGCATGATGGCTGGGTTCGTGGCACAGAAGATGCACCAATTACTCCTTTCACCGGTGACATGTCACAATCAGGTGACGCCATTGTTGCAGGTACTGCATCTGATGTTCTTTTTTTTTTCTACTTCTGCAGGATATGCCATTTTCATTAATGACACCAAAGGATAGCAAATGCATCATTACATATGTGTTCTACTTTCATAAAGCAGGAACATACAAATTCTTTCTTGGGAGTAGCTATAGAACTGTCGACAGTTTTTGGGATGAAAAACTTTCAAATGTAACTACTATATAATTGCATTATAACTACTATGTAACTAATATGTAACTGATATGTAAATCGAGTGTAACTCAAAAAAGCATGATGGAGCAGCTGGTTAGTTGAACAAACATCCAAGTTGGAGGTGTTGGGTTAGATCCCTGCTGCACGCGTCTGATTTTTTTTTCCCGTTTTCCTTCACCAGCACAAATCTCAAAGCATATTAGATGGCTTAAAATTTGAAAGTTTTCACCCCTGTTAACTGTCGACACTAGTATAGCAAATCCGTTCTTTCAAACACTGTATACAAGTTTTTTTTTTTAAAAAAATTACAGCTTCAGCCTTTTATAGCTTATATCATCAGATGCCAGCATGATAATAATTTAGTGACACTTCATTTTGTGTTCATGTTTATTTTGTTTGTGTATCTTGAACTAGCTCTGATGACATTTTAATGTGTTCTTCAGCTCTGATGAAGATGCTGGCAATTAACCCTCACCTGGTCACTGACAAGGATTACTTGCATACTGCAATGAAACATGCTATTACATGTGGTGTCATTGACCAGTGGTTACTTGCACGAGAACGAGGGTTCCTTCCCAGAGAAAGAGCAGATCCAACCAGTGAACAGTTTGGAGTGAGATTCGTCACAGAGAAGGAATACCGTACACTTCCTGATTCCATACATACAGAGGATTCATCAGAGAGTGAGCTTTTATATGTGGAGTGAACAAAGAAAATGCAGAGGCATGTAATTTTCAATAGAGGGAAAAACCTACAGACATCTGGTGATTTTTCTTGAAGCACCATTTATGGGAACTGCTGCTCTTAACTGGAGTTGGTATTTAGAAGAACTAGTTGTAACCTGCAGGCTCTAGGTTTATTTTTTAACACAGGGTAATAGCCTCAAGATAAACTAACACATCTGTATTGTCAAATTTTGGGTTAAGATTTTGTTGTAAATGTGCATGATTATGGGTGTCAGAAATTTTTCCTAGAACAGATGGATGCTAATTATATATTTCACTGCAACTCCACTATTCTACCAGATTACCAATTGTATAATTAAGCTATCAGTTATCAATTTATCTTCGCAGTGGTGTGCTGCCGGTGCTACTGTGCAATGAAGGTGAGTATGCATATCTATTGCCCAACAATGTTTTTTATTACTAACTGACTAGCATCTAATTCCCTTTTCAGACAAAAAGAAAAGCCTCTTAACATTGGAGCTACATATGTACTTGGGTCCAAAATAAGCTCCTAGTTGGTTGTTATAGATCTTTGAACAAGGTAAGATGGATATACTTGTTCCTAGATTGCATCATTGAATGTAAATGGGGAAATCATGTGACTGCAAAAGCACAAATAGAGCAAGTTTTCTGAAAGCTAAAGTTCATTATACGCTGAATTTTCTGCAATCTACAAACTAAGTATCTGATACATGCATTGCTAGTGAACCTGATGTTGAAAGCCAATTGGCTAAGCAAATAAGTTAGCTTTCTGCCATGTTATACTGTTGTCTTTTAAGATTCAACAAGACGATGTAAAATCAGTCACCTGATCTACCATGAGTTACTCTCAACTATAGAAGAATAATTTTCACCAAATTACCCTTCTAAGGCAACTATCAAATAATACACTTCTAAGCAGTTAAACATAACTACGCTTTTCGTTGGAAACCATTTACATTTTTTGGAACAAAGCAACTGAAGTGTAATTTTGTAAAGGGTTAGCTGATAGTGTAGTTCTTTCTTAGCTTTCACATTGGAAGTGTAGTTTTGTGAAATTTACTCTAAAGTGTTGTTCCAAATCTTACTGTTTCTATGTTGGTTTGTTTTTCACGCAAACCTGTCCTAAAGAAGAGAATGATGATCTACGCCCTTTAGCTATGGTTTGGGTTTGGTCTGTTCTTGAGATCTCGTGGTCAACTGGCCATACAACAAATTTCCTGTCAACCCTGAAATTTGAGCTCTAGCAGTCCAAGTCTTGGACTGGATGACCTGACTTCTATCTGGGTTTTTATACCATACTCCCTCCCTCCGTTTCAGGTTATAAGACTTTCTAGCATATATATGTCTAGATTCATTAACATATATATGAATGTGGGCAATGCTAGAAAGTCTTATAATATGAAACGGAGGAAGTATTATGTTTCGTGTGCTGAAGAAAATCCCTGACCAGTTTGTCATTGCTTGCATCAGCAAAGCAATACTGTGCTAGAATTCAAATTCACTGGCTAACTTATCACCCTCTGGTAGTCCGGTGAGTATCAAAATTGATACTCAAATTGACAGTGACATGAAATTGGCACAATTTGCTACTGAAACAATATTATATTGGTCCTCAGATTGATCGACAGTGACATGAAATTAAATCAAACAACTCCATGCATATCAAAATTGTATTATCCTTAACAACTAAGGTAATGCTTGCATATGAATCATTCTTAAAATCGTCTCAATTCCCCACCTGATGTTACTGGTGCAGACCTCGGTGTCCATGTTAAGAAGATGACGGTTCACTGGTGACAAACTGAACAATATTCAACACATCAGTGAAGGCCGGCACTCAATTAGTCGCGTGACTCGTGCAATTTGACTATCCAGAAAGAAGAGAACAGTTTCTTGGGTTCTGAAAAATAGCAGGTATGTCATAATCAGATGGGTCAATACTCAATATACTGACATGTTGCGGAGGCATCATATTATTTTGTTGAGCCAAAACGAAGCTTCTCATGCTAGCAACTCCCCCCGGGGGAGTGTTTGTAATTTTGTGGTTAGTAATGCTTCATGTCTCCCTGAAAGCAGCCGCTTACCCTTTGAAAGTTTAAGCTTCAACTTGACATCTTAATCTAAAACACTATATTATTAGATGGATAGTGGTTTGGATCCGTTGGATTCAGCTTATTAGATGATTTCCTCCTGAAGATTCTACCAATTAAGGGGCGGTTTAAAAAATAATTGTTGTTGGCAGGCTAGAGCTGTTTGGGGGCAGTGGTGATTTTTTGCAGAACTACACCTGCAGTAGCAGCCGCTGACATGTGGAACCGGGTCCACCTGTCAGCCACCGCTACTGCAAATGCAGTACTGCAGAGAATCCATATCTGTTTGGGGGAGCAAGTAGTACAACTTGTTGGGTGACACATGGGGCATATATGTGCCCAAAGGCTCCCGCAAAAGAAGTCCATATATATCTATCCTCCTATTGTATTTTATAAATTACATTAATTTATGATTTAGATATAATCATATAACATGCAATTGCAACGCAATGTTTAACGATGTTTAACAAGGAGAAAAAAATGCAGGTAGCAAGAGTAAATACATATAGTTTATAATGCAACATTGTTGGCGGTATGGTATGAGGCCCTTCGACCAAAATTTGCCGAAGGCTATGCGAGGAGTGGGGATCCAAGCCCGAGACACCAAAGTTAGTCGGGGCGAAGACTATGGAACAAGGACGGCGAGAGGCGAAGGATCGTGCGGGTACTCTGCCAAGCCGGAGGCCTCTTGGGCGAAGGATGCAGGGGGAAGAGTATATACCGAAGGGAGACGACTTCGCCAAAGCAAGCTTGCCCCCATGAGGGCCGAAGAAGCCTTTTCTGGCCCATCAAGCCTAGGGGCCATTGGGCCGACGATCGCCTAACGGCCCATCAGGAGTCCATGAACCTCTATTACACTATGTACCCATGTAAAAGTCCCTTTCATAAGGGTAACCATGTAAATTCCCTTGTATAACCAAAACCCTAATAGTAAGAACCTGTAATAGGGGCTATAAATAGTCCCATAGGGCCAGGTAATAGGGGGATCCCAAGAAAAATTCTCTAATCAATACACTTTACTTTTTCTCAACCACTGTTGAGTAACCATGTCTTTCGACGTATGCAGTTGTCGTTTCGACAACAGCTGGCGCCGACCGTGGGGACCTCCGAGCGAAACCACTGAGAGCGAATGCCACCGAAGAAGGTTGTAAAGGAGAAGGTTACAAGGCGAAAGGAAAGCGACGCCGGGGCGGATATGGCCACCGAAGAGGGAGCAGAGCCTTCGGCGCCTGTCGCCGAAGATGGAGGAGCGCCATCTGCTTCCGCACCTGCGCCATCACTACCGCCTTCGGCCCCTGCTACCTCTGTGCAGGTGCCGAACGCGGCTGACATGGCGAAGGCGGCTGCGGCGGCGAGGGCACTCCAGACCAGGGCGGAGATCCTTTCGACAAACCAACTACTGGTGCCCCAAGCCGCTCCGTCGCAGCCGGCAGCAGCCCCAACTGCGCTCGCCGCTGTGCAAGCCCAAGTCAACTCTGACCCCGAGACACAAACCGAAGCCGACATGGAAGCCATGCGACAGTACATGACACGACTCTAAGACATGCTTCGCCAAATGCAAGAACAGCAGCAAGCGTACGAAGCGGCAAGGCGGTCCAAGGTCGCTTCGGCACCTATCCTCCAGTATTCGGCAGGCTATGTCCCACCCCAAGTCTATCCACAAGTGCCGATCTAGCCCCTTCCGCCACAAGTTGCGCAAGCGCCAATGTACTTCGCCGGGCAGCCATCGACCGCAGCAGCGCATCCGGCCCCTCATGTGCAACTGCAAGCTCAACTGGTCACTGCCCAAGTACATCCTCAACCGCCTGGCCAAGTGCCGCAAACAATGGCAGAAGGGGCTTCGGCTCTACAGGCGCAGCTCCAAGCTTTCCTTCAGCAGCTCAGCCAACCCCACAACATTTCAAGTATAGCCCCTTCGGCCCGCCCGGAGGGGAATACAAGTCAAGGTGCGCCTCGTTAGTTGCCTTCGAATCAGCCAGGTCTGGGGATTCGCCGTGGAGTCAAGGACCGTAGTTCGACTCTATCAATGCTGCTCAGGCGCCAACCGTTCGGCCGCAAGCACCAACACCAGGCTTCGGAGCAAACCAAGCACCAAACCAGGTCACCATGACATGGTCACAGCCAACTTTCGACCCATTCATGGCGGCACAGCAAGCATCACCAATCGGGGCTGGGCAGCCGAATGCTATGGCCCAACCTCACGCGCAAGCCGTGATTTCGCCCTTCGCCACGCCATACCCGTAGCAAGGTGCCGTGAACAGGGCAGGGGGCGAAAAGGGGCTACCGCTGAGTGGGGGAATCAAGACCCGTCCAATCCCACCCCAATTCAAGTTCCCACCCGTCCCACGCTACCCAGGCGAAACTGACCCAAAGGAATTCCTCTCCATTTATGAATCCGCGATCGAAGCGGCTCATGGCGACGAAAATACCAAGTCAGTAATACATCTCGCCCTAGACGGCATCGCCCGCTCTTGGTATTTCAATTTGCCAGCCAATAGCATTTACTCATGGGAGCAATTGCGCGATGTCTTTGTCCTTAACTTTCGAGGCACCTATGAGGGGCCGAAGACGCAGCAGCATCTACTCGGCATTCGCCAGAGGCCGGGGGAGTCGATAAGGGAGTACATGCGTCGCTTCTCGCAAGCCCGTGCCAAGTTCAAGACATAATTGAGGCATCAGTCATAAACGCCACTTCAGCTGGTTTACTCGAGGACGAACTCACAAGAAAAATCGCCAACAAGGAGATGCAGACGCTTGAACACCTACTTCGCATCATTGACGGGTTCACAAGGGGCGAAGAGGATTCCAAGCGATGGCAAGCAATACAAGTTGAGTACGATAAGGCTTCCGTCACCACTGCTCAAGCCCAACAACAAGTTCAAGTTGCCGAACCACCTCCTCTCGTTGTTCGCCAGCCCCAGCCGGCGATCCAAGCACAACCGCCAAGGCAAGGTCAAGCCCCCATGACCTAGAGGAAGTTCAGAATCGACCGAGCGGGCAAGGCTGTGATGGCTGTCGAAGAAGTGCAAGCCCTCCGCAAGGAGTTCGACGCTTAGCAAGCAAGCAACCATCAGCAGCCTGTCCGAAAGAAGGTCCGAAAAGACCTCTACTGTGCCTTCCACGGACGCTCTTCGCACACCACGGAGCAATGCCGAAATATTTGGCAACGTGGCAACGCGCAAGATCCAAGGACGCAGCAGGGAGCAGCGGCCGATGCAACTCGTGAAGTAGCTCAAGAACAAGCACCCCCAGCCGAACAGCGCTAAGATGCGCAACGCAGAGTGATCCAAGTGATTACAAGGCCGACC